GCATCCTGCATGGTAGAGGGGTGTGCTTGCTTTCACTTGTTATCTTAAGTTGTGGACTGTCCAATGCATCTATGAACTACTGATAATTCATGAAGGTTCGAGAAGGACGTGGCGTGATACTAGTCACGTGACCTCGCTGACGCAACAATATCAACTTTAAACGAGTACAAAAGGTCACGTGACTCGGTCAAATTTTGAGAGTTAAATCGTTCTAAAAAGCATGCTTATCTCTAAATTATTAATTACGTTTCTCTACCATTTATATATCCTAAAAAGGATGATATCATGAAATAATTAAAACTTACACTTTCACTAGTTAGATTTCATGCTATAACTTCACAAAATAATTCATTTACACATGTTTTACAAAAGTGAATGGTGTTATACATATACATTGTATTACTAAAGCAAATTCCTTTTTCAATGTGTCTCAACATGCTATTACATCATCAATAAAATGCTTATTAAATATTATGCAATAATTAAACTTACACTTTTAGTAATTTGACTTTCATTTTACACATGACACTTTATAGTTTTTATCTTACACGAGTTTTACAAAGGCAGACACTATACTTCCACATATGATCAATGCTTAGATTTAATTATGTTAAAACCATTATTTTAATGACTGTTCATAATGTTTTAATAAATATGTTGTGACAGTGTTACTATACTTCCACATGCAATTATGTCATCAATGTCTAGATTTAATTATGTTAAAACCATTATTTTGCATATTTTAACATCTGTACTAATATAATTTGCTACAACCAAAAATAAAATTGCATAAAACTTTGAGTCTGTCTAATGCTAATAGGAATTGATCACTGAAAAACACACCTTCAAACTTTTTTGCATATGCAAATCTTATGAAAGTATGGAATACATTTCTAAATTGTTCATAGCTTCTTTCAGAAAATATTCCATAGGACAACTGTTGTTTCTCCATTTTTTATTAAAAGTTCACAAAACTAACTAACTCTTAGACCTGTGTGATCTCGAACTGAGCTCAGGCTAGTTAAACTTTGATGCAAAGGTAATCACGTGGTCACACACACATATACAGACAGTTTTTCCATGAAATAAGGATTATGACATCATTTTCTCAATGCATTATCAAAGACTAGATTTAATCAAATGTAAAACGTTATTCTACAGTACACAAAACTATCATGGAAATATTGACGCCATTACTGTCCACCAACCTTTAACTCAACATACAGTTTACCGAGTCTGACATACTCAAGACCAATGACTGGTTTGATTTTAGAAAATATACAATAAAATATACATTGCAGCATGTCAAGCTTAGAAAAACTTTAGTGTTAGCTAAACCTTGACTATTACGAAATAACATCATGTGGTCAAGATAAAGTTGACCTTGCGTTCGTCTAATAGTTCATTATATAGTAATACACTAGCTCACTTCTCATTATAGACTAATATAATTTTAGTATATTTGTAAATAACACCTCAGACATAAGTATCACGCATATTGATACATTTGTTAACAAAACTTCAAGATAAACTAATATACTATTCACGAAAATATCTTAGTTTATAGAATACCTGACTTACAGTTCAATATTCAATACCTGCGGTATATACTTGTTTTAGCCCGTTATTAGTCACATAGAATAATCATCCCAATACCAAAATTGAATTGAAAATTATAATCGTAAAAGAACCTTTAGTTATAAATCAAGTGTTTATTCATTGATTATCTCAAAATAGATACTTCCTCACGTTGATTTTGAATTTGTTAACGTGTCGTGAAATATCTTTCATTTACACTCTATAGCTAGATAATCAAACGTATAAAAATCATCAGTTACAAATTAGTGTTCTGTAAGTTTTCTTATATGAAACTCACTTCTAATCATAGACTAATATACTAATGTAAGTAAAATCTCAGACTTAAGTATAACACATACTGAAACATTTGTTAACAAAACTTCAAGATAAACTATTTACGAAAACATCTTAGTTTGTAACATACTGAATTATAGATGAATATAATAATACTTGTGATAAATACTTGTTCTAGCATATTATTAGTCAAACAGAATAAATAGTCGTAAATGAAAAATAAGGAATTTCTCCAAAGTAACCAATGTTTCTTTATTTTAGAAATTATACAAACATATCATGCATTTGAAATCCGTAACTAAATTGACTGTCCCCTCGTACTAACATTAGATCTTGGCCCTTACATTACCACTCCCCTCAGCTTAAAACTGACGTGTTTCACCATATGCTATCTTGAATAATGTAAGTAAAGACTTTTAA